ACCCATGCTGGAGTGCAGTGGTGTAATCATGGCTCACTGTAGCCTCGAACTCCTGGGCTTAAGCAATGCTTCTGCCTCAGTCTCCTAAGTAGCTGGGAGTGCAAGAATGCACCACCACGTCCAGCTGTTTGTAGTTTTTTTGTAGATGGGGTCTTGCTATGTTGCCCAGGGTGGACCCTCTGCCTCTTCAAAAAGGTACACTCTAAAAAGTATCCTGATCTGTGGCTCCCAGGCTGGGGCAGAGGCCACATCCCTTTCATTCTCTATACCAAACTTGTCCAACCCTCAGCCTGTGAGCCGCATGTGGCCCAGGACGACTTTGAATCCAATCCAACACAAATTTGTAAACTGTATTAAAACGTTACGAGATTTTTTTGCAATTTTTTTTTTTTGCTCATCAGCTATTTTTAGTGTTTATTGTATGTGTAGCCCAAGACCATTCTTCTTCCAATGTGGCCCAGGGAAGCCAAGAGATTGGACAACCCTGCACTGTATTTATTGAACATCTGTTTGTGAAGGCTCTGGATGTCAGACTTGCTAATGAAAAATTAAATGGAGGCCATGTTTTGGGTATAGCCCTAGGCCAACCATCCACAGCCACATAAGGCATTTAAAATACTGATTTCTCCCTTGAGTTCACGAGTTGGAGACTGCAGTGAGCTATGATGGCACCACTACACTCCACCCTGGGTGACACAGCGAGACCCTGTCTCTCTTAAAAACAACAGGCCTGGCGCGGTGGCTCACGCCTGTAAATCCCGGCACTTTGGGAGGCCGAGGCGGGCGGATCACGAGGTGAAGAGTTCAAGACCACCCTGGCCAACATGGTGAAACCCCGTCTCTACTAAAATACAAATAATTAGCTGGGCGTGGTGGCATGCGCCTGTAGTCCCAGCTACTCGGGAGGCTGAGGCAGGAGAATCGCTTGAACCTGGGAGTTGGAGGTTGCCTGTACTCCAGCTCGGGCAACAAAGTGACACATCGCTTCAAAAACAACAACAGCAACAACAATTCCTTATTTCCCTGAAAAGTGTGTGCAGACCAGGAAGGAAGCTTTTTTCCTAGTCCAACGGAACCAATCAGCTACAGATGCAAGGCTGATCCAGCTCGACTTACCCTAGAAGGAATGCAAGTTGATAATGGCCAATTACAATCAAGATCACTGCACTTCCTCATTTAGCTTTCTAAGCTGCCATTGGAACAATTTCCCAGCTGTTCCTCTGCATGCACAATAAACTCAAAACTTTAACTGGACGGGATTGTTAACTTTTGAGAAATTCCTAAATGCCGCTTCTTCACAATCACGTGAACACTTTCCACTAACAACCACGGCTCATCTCCCAGTCTAACAAAACCAAGCCCCGGCGTTCACCAGCCATTCATTCTTCGGACTTTGCTCCTCTCGCTGCTGAAGACTTGACACCGCCGAAAATACTCAAAAGCCGGTGCCACGGGTCCCGAGAGCTGCCGCACAGGCCCGGGAGCGTCCCCTGAGAGCCGGGGGTCTCCGGAGTGGCCTCCCCCAAGCACCCACGCCCCCCACAACACTCGCTTCCTTCTTCCCAAACCTGCTGATGCCTCCGAATCTCCGCCGCGCCGCCTCCACCAGGTGCGGCGGCGGGGCTGGGCTCT